AAATGCACATCCCAAATGAGCACTACATACTGGTTTGTATGCAATTAAAACTATGCCAACCATAGTCATATAGATACATTAATATACAATGTATATTGTGTATACGAAAACAGAGCAAAGAACTAAATTTAATTTCCTGCCATAAGTACTTTACTCAAAAAATTGCTGAAGCTGAAAGATATTTCATGTAAAAATCTAGCTATGTTCCAATAGAATCCATGTGATCTCTCACAGCCACCCATAGATATAGAAAGGGGATCAACCAAATACAGCCTGTTGACCACATTTGTCTTACCCATCCCCATTTTTTTAATTATTTAAAAAATGGTCATTCAGAATGTTCCCCATGCTGTCTCTTAGGAATGTGATAGACAGTTCTCCCATAATGGGGTGGAGGGCAGGAGTGTTCCTTGGCTTGTCTCACATTCTTCAAAAACATTGTGTAAATATTTCATCTTTTAAAAAAATCAGCTACTAGAAGATGCAGAAATAATGCATTTTCACTTTAAAGAGCTTTTTGTAAAAACAAAAATACTTTGACACAGGTAGGACACAGAAGTGGGTACAGGTGTCCTTGGATCTCTGGGGGTTGACAATTCCTGCTCTAGGAGATGATCTAGAGGAAAAAGAAACATGCAGTGAGTCATCTCAAGAGTATACAGTACATCTATTCTTACACCCAGAGAGGTTTTTGAACCTACAACAGTTGTGGAAATCTCAGAAGGAGGGTATGTGTGCAGTACCATTCCAAAACACACTTTCCCCAACAGTACCTATACATAGGTGAAATAGACAGTGATTATATGAAGGCTTTTTGCATGTATGAACCAGTTCCAAGACAATAGAATGTGCTGAATGATGAGCAAAAAACTGAAAATGAAGTAAAAGTCACAGTTCTATTCCTTGTCCGTTCAGATAGTTAGACTTCTGATCAAAGAGCAGAAGTGCAAAAGTTCAAGTGTGTCTTAGCGGCTGAAAGACTATTCATTAAAGAATCTGTTCTCTCCAACCAAAACACAAACCACTGGAAATCGGCAGCACTGTGTGCATTTTATTGCACTATTGATCTCTCATAAACAGCCTCAGAGTGTGCCCACAGGTTGTCAGTTGACAAGTGCAGATAAGCCATGGTAAAGAAACATAATTTGACAAATAGATAGGTACATGAAGTCAAAAAGCTTGACTTTGTATGAATAGGTAAACCTTGAATCACCATGGTAATTCTTAACCTGGTATAGAAAGGATGATTTTGTTATGCAGTATATATTTTGCATGTAAAATCTCCCATTCTTTATCTTTAGTTTATTTGGAGTGGGGCGCTGGCAATGTGAACAATGGGAAATATCCAGGAAGGAATTTGAAAGTAATTTTACTTTACTATTAAACATTATAACTTGGTTACAATGAAAATCTACCTATACAATGGGACCTTCTTTGTATATTGCTAGCGCCACCTATAGATACAAATAAACCATGTCCTCCTTAATGGGTTATCATTGACCAGGAGTCAGTCTGGTCTGCTTTAGTCAGATTGGGTGTATTGGTCAGCATCATAAACCAGAATGATGCAGATCATTTACACATAGAGATCCATGTGATTTTCATGAAACAGATACTGCTGGTAAATACAATATTCTGTCTTCGCATACTTAAATAGTTAACTTCTAATTGTAGAAACAAACACAAATAGCAACTATGGCTGTCTCTGTCGTAATTCAGGGAGTGGATTTAAAGATCTGAAATATAAAAGATTTATTGAATCTTTTAAATTGTCTCTGTACCACCCTGATCTTCAGGGCTTATCGTAGTTATATCTTCAGATAGCTCATCAAAAGACTGAGGTCTGGAAATGTACATTCCTAAAATTTAGTGCTGGGATTTTTAGGTGCTAATGAATTGGACCTCAGAAGCATTCTTCCATGATTGAGGGTTAGAGATCACATGTTGGCAACTTTTGGCCAGCTCAAACATTTATGAGCAGTCAGTATTTCAAGAATGTTGACTCTTACCATTTCTGCACTTGGCTGCATTTCTCAGATTAAACAATTTATTGGGAGTAATGAAAATACATCAAAAATAATATTTTACTCCTTTATTTAGAATAGTACTCATCAGAAGTTTTCAGAAACATTTTAGGTTTTATAATCCTGAATCTTCTCTTGGATCAAGTCTCTGAGACACAAGTAGCTCATGATCTATTCAGGATCATGAATTCACTCCAAAATGTTAAATTGAGGCTTCCCCTACAACTTAGGCCATGTACAACTCCTACTATGAAAAACAGAACTTGCCTTCTCATATAGCTGTTGCCACCAGAGGTAGCACCTTTTCTCATTTTACAGAGCTAATATACAGGAGTCCCCCCCCCATATCCGTGAATTTGGTATCTACAGTTTCAGTTATCCGCAGTTGCTGCTGTTGCAACTCAGCCCACAATATCCATGGACACTTACCTCTTCTTACCTTTCACCCTCCCTCTTGCTCTCTTTAATGAGGTTCAGGCATCTGTGGTTGATCCTGGAATAGATCACCTGCGGATATGGGGGGACTGCTGTATACAGAAAGCACTGTGTGGCACACCTTTGTGTTCTCCCTGTCCCTAGACATCCTTGGCTAGATGAGCTGGCAACATCAAGCATGTAGGCATGAAATGTCTGTCTCCCAACATTCAGCTAGTGTTGGCCTGCTAATTGCTATTATTGATGCTAGAAAATAAGTTCAGTACTGAGTGAAATCTTGTTGCTTAAGCAGCACCATTGAATTAATGGGGATTTGGTGAATCAACTCCTGTCTTAAGTTCTTTTGATTCAGTAGGCCTAATCTAGTCACAACTAAACAACAGGATTTCAGCCACTGTAGGAGTTACATGCTTAAAGCATAAGAAGAAAAACACTTTTATGTTAGTAGTTATATTTGTTTTGTGTATCTAGGCCAAACATACTCAATGCAGACGTATGACATACAGACATTTTTCATGCTCAAACTGCATTGTTAAAATATATTGTAAACATCTTCATCAGATATTGAGAAGATCAAATGCCAACTTTCATATTTGATCATCCTTTTTAAAGGCCTTGTCTAATAAGACATATGCCTTGTATATAAAAATGCATATTGAATTGCAGTGGCTTAACTTCTGCTACCCTTTTAATGTGACATCAGTTTTAAGAAAATAAATGGGCATTCTCTCTCTGTTTTCATAATATTTTTCTGATTATATACATAAAGATCATGCTCAACCAGAAAACTATTCCCCCATTGTTTTTTCCTATTAACTGTTGGCAATTGTGGTGGCCATTCTAGGGTATGTAAGAGAGAGTAATTTTATAGAGCAAAGAACTTAAGCTGGGGAACATAATGGGAGTGGCTTGTTTTCCTTGGAACTAAATTGGACTACTGAGAGCAGAATTTTACATTTCGACAGTTGCAGTAAATGTAATTACTAAGTTATCCACCTTAATAAAACCTTGTACAGTATTTGAGAAATAATTGCAGTGTTATTTCTGAGGCCTGATTAACCTGCCATTTGTTGATCTTTTCCTAAATCTTTGCATCCAGAATCCATGGGAATATGAATTTTATTCATCCTCACAAATTTCTCTGTAGCAAAGCCTAGAATCTAACCATTCTGAGTGCCCACAGTTTTGCCTATTTCCTATTGTATTCCAGTTAGGAGGCCTTGTGTGAATTCATTTCAGACATTGCTAACTGGGATAAATGGCACATGAAAAACAGTGCAGCATATTAATCAGTGGCACAGTATTTTTCCTGCAACTAGAAGGCTTTGTTGCACAACTTCATTTGTCTTTACAGAAGTCATGGGTCGCAGATACTTCACATTGTTTATAGGGAAGAAAAATAAGAGGGATTCTTTTCACATTGTTTACAGGGAAGAAAAATAAGAGGGATTCTTCACTTCTTCATATATCCGCTTGTCTTGCTAATTTGTCATATCTGAATTGGCTCTAGGTGTACATATAGTAATGACTTAAGGTCTTTTGTGAGAGATATTTCCTATAAGTAAATGGGATCCTTACTGTTTCTGTCAGTTATATGCATGAAGAACCTGTGGTCTTCAAGCCCAGATCTATGTATCAGGAAAAATGCCACATTAAACCTGATTAAGACACCTCTTTCTAGTTGCTTTATAGATAATATATGGCAATTTATAATAAAAACAGCCTGACATGGCTACAGAACTGGTTTTAATCCAGAGCAGGGGTTGCACTGTGTGGAAAACTAGAACTGAGTGTGAATTGAAAGAGACATTAGATTTGGCTCAACTCTCTTCAGCTTCAGCCACTTCAGGCAGTGGTAAGTGGTGATATGAGTTATTGTCCAGCAACATCTGAAAGGATGAAGTCCTCGTTTATATTTACATAAAACAATTTGAATTGCAGCCTGTTAACAAATTTCATTTCTTAAAATGACATTTCCAAAAGACACATATTTACTTTTTTAAAAAAAAATCTATGCTGCCATGTTCATAGCATGAGTATAATTTTTTCCTGAAATTGTAAGATAGTTTTTCAACAGCTTCGCATGTGATGTTATCCTCAAAGGATGCACACTAGCCTTCCCCCACCTTGTGCCCACAACGCATCTGCAACATCCATTGTCCTTAGTCATCATGACCAATGGGTGTGTTATACTTATGTACTCCTCTAAGCTAAGCTGCTCAAGTGAATACCATATGGTGATTCACAGATGTCAGCTGTGAAACAGAATTTCATGGTTTGGATTAAATAAACCCACAAGGTGGTCTTAAGCACGCCTTTTTGTTCCAGCTTAAGCCACCCCCTTCCCCCACATCTGCTTTATGGAGATTATAATACTAGCAAAAGATATAAGGTTTGTCTAAGGCTAGTTGGGAAAACATACGTGAAATGCTTTGAACACTTGACATGAAATTTGTTAGTGCTAAATATTACAGTGCTTTTCCACACTTATATTATTTTTAATTTTAACCTCTGCTCTGTTTTCTCTCCTCATGTTTTTAGAGCCCTGCACAAAACTACCACGATAGCAACAACAAAGAAAATGCTAATGTTTGACCCTGTGCCTATCAAGCAAGAAGCAATGGAACCAGTTCCAGTGGTAAGTATTTATAAATATTAAAATTTTCCATGCCATGGAAAATACTCTGATGATAATGGTAACATCTATTGACCCACATATCTGTGAGTGTCTTGTCTAGGAAGACAAAGAAGAAGAAACTATCTCTCCTGAATAGTGTTGCCACATATCACAGACGTTTGTTGACTGCTTGGTGTGGCCACCTCTTTTGTGACAGAGGAGTTTTGTCTTTAGTAGCAGTTTAGCAAGCAAGAATTTAACAAGTCCAATTTCCTTGCATGGAAGTGCTGTGGTGGGAAAGCTGTGCCTTTTGGATTTCTTGCTGCCATGCAGTTTTTAAAGGCAGATGGCTTCTATAAGGGAAAACAATGGCAGAGCTGTACAGTAGCTAGCTTATTTGTATTCTCCATGTTTTCTTTTCATCTTTAAGAACTTTTACCAGGCCGACATAGAGGTTGTAGGAAGCAATGCATGTTGGTACTGCTCAAGGAAATAAGCTTACTCTAGGACAGAGATGGCGAACCTGCGGTACACGTGCCACAGCTGGCACGCGGAGAACTGTCCCTGGGCACATGAGCAGAGCGCTACCACCCCCACCCCCTGTAGCCAAACCTCAAACTGCACGATTGTAGGCCACCTATCCCTGCTACCTTACTTAGTTGCGGCACTTATAAATCAGTTCTTTTACAGATCGGAAATAAGGCTGCTTTATTGTTTTCTGCTGTAGAACAGCCCGGGGCAGTCAATCCAGCTTGTGACTTGTGAATTACTACTTCCACCGAACGTGACTGCAAGCAGAAGGGAAAGCTCCAATTAAGGCGGGAAGGAAGGTGCGAGAGAGGAACGGGTGGATTCATCAAGCTTGTTTAAATGTAATATTGTAGAAAATTTAGGGAGGGTGTGTGTGAGAGAGACTTGATATTTCATAAAACCATGAAAAAAGGAACCATCCAAATTTAATCTCCACTGCATTTAGCTCTGTAGTTTCTGCGGAGAAGAGCAAGTATTTCAAGATTATGTTTAGATGCTAAATTTGTACTGGGCAGAACCAGAATATTTAGAAGAGTCTCGCTAACAGCAAACACCGAGTAAAAGACAACCAACACACCTGGGACTAGATGTCTGAAGTGTGTAGCAATTGCGTTTCTCTGTTTCTCATCCCCAAAGCAAGCAAGAGTATCATAGTTTATTCCCCAAATCTGAGTCCTTGTCTCTCTGCTCCTGGTCCTGCTTTGACTGCAACACCAAACAAAAGGTCTTACAAACAAAGATTGTGGCTTTCTTTATTGAGTCAATCCATCTCATGTACATTCTTCCTCTTTTCCTACAGCATTGCACTTTTTCCTGCATTGCTGCCTTTTCCAGTGAGCTTGTCTTCTCATGATGCCACTGTA